TAAGGGCCTTTTTTTTTGTTGGGGGGAGGGGGGGGGGGTTATGGGTTAGGGCTTAAGATTTCTTAGTGTTTGGGGTTCAGGGCTTTATCCCATCCGTTCGGGTTTGCGGCTCAGAGCTAATTTTCCATCCACTAGGGTTTGGAGTTTGGTCACCGGCTCATGATCGGCACACCGCCTGGCAATGCACTCTGCATTGAATGCAGTATCGCATCAAGTAAGCCATCAACTGCAGTCAAGCTTGAACCCATGTCAAGCAAGGGTTTGGCTTTTGGCACAATACAAATCTACTATAGTCTCCCACCAGGGTGCTACAGTAAGCTTTTTTGTATACTAATGTGTGCTACGGAAGCTTCGGCGTTGGGGGAAGGAGGAGAGGCCGTGCTGATACTTACAAGTAGACAGAAGCATAGTACTTGTTCAGACAAATTCTAGGGGCCAAGGGGGTCTACATTGAATCTCCCACATGACAGCAAGTCCTCATCTCAAAAGCACCCCGTACTTGTCAGATCTTTGGGGCCTAGGGTAGACCGGTAGACCGTCGGTAGACCCATCTCGGCCAGGTCTCAAGTGCTCCTCTTCGGCTTTCAGGAAGTCGCTGTAGCGCGTCTGCATCTCACCGAAGCGAGCGGAGCAGCCGACGTAGCCGTGAAGCGTCTGGGCGCGGGAAATGTAGAACTCTACAAAACGCAGGACACTTAAGACCCTTTTATGATGCCGAGCTATGACTTATGGCCATTATGGGACAGGTAGTTTCGCCCCCCGCTTTCCCCCCCGGCTCTCACCTTGGCAGCTGCCAGGTAAGTGGCGGCGTGGCGCCGGGCTTGGTTCAAGTACTTGTCCAGCGAGGCCCGGAGACTCCACCAGGTGCCGTCCAAGGACACCAGCACTTGCCAAAGATCACCAGGGCCACCAGGGTAGGGGGAGCTTAGAGGGCTCTCAAAGCTCTCGGATTCCAGGAGGCTCTGGCTCTCCGCCCTCTCTGCCCTTTGTGCCCCTCGAAGCAGCTGCTTCTGGCGATGCTTCCACTCTTTGGAATGGTGGCTGTAGACACCAAGGAGGTTATTTCGGGAATGGGCCACCTTCTGCATGAGAGTGGCTGCTTCAACCGTGAGCTCCCCCATGGCACGGCTCTTCGAAGTCTTGCGACCTCCTGCAAGCACGGAGACTGCCTGTTCTAGCGCGTCTGTCCTGCCGAGCACATACTCCATGCCTGCTTCCATGCCCGAAGCCGCCGAAGCCCTGCCTGAAGAAGTTGCGTTCTTCAAGTTCTCAAGGTTCAAGCGCATATCGAGCATGAAGTTTTCCAGGGCCCAGTGGGAGGCGGTGAGGCCCAGCGTGTCCAGCTCTCCTTCCGACAGGATGTTGCTTACTGTCGCCAAGCGTGAGCTCAACGAAGCTCGCAGATCTCCAACTTGCAGAGTGGGCTTTGCCTTTTCACTTGTGAACTCATCCAGGCGTTCGGACAGCGTGTCAAGCTTCTGATTCAGAAGGCCTGCATAGTATTCACTGAGGGCATCGACATTCTGATTCACAACTCGCACAGCTTCTGCCAGGTTCGTCCTCATCGCAGCATTGCCTTTCAGGACAGCATCCTTGACGCAGTGGAGGTCGCACCACAGCCTGGAGAACGCAGCCTGTTGGCCACCGCAATCTTCACTGGACGCGCTTGCAACCTTCATGTTGTTTCCGTACCCGCCGATTCTTATTGAATTCTGCACCTCCGCTGTCGCAGCATTCGCCCATGCATCGCAGATGTCAGCAGTTTTAACGTTGGCGCCAAGACCGAAGGGGGCAAAGATTGCATCTCCAAAGAAGGGACAAACCATCCTCGCAGCTTGGCCAAAGGTGTTTACGGACCAGTGAGCTATCGCAATCTTGTTGGTGGTGTATGTGGCACTCAAGTCACGCTCCCCTTGGCGCCTGAAGCAGCCTAGCACCTTGTTGTAGTCGAAGCCAGAATCCTCTTGCTCCGTCGCTTCATTCCATGTGGCTTGGGGCCCGGTCACGTAGGAGCAGGGGTTCGAGCTTGGCAAGAACCGGCCCACGGAGTCATAATCGGCTACCAGCACCTTGCACTCTGGAGCCACCTCTGGCGGGTGGCCGACAAAGGTGAGCAAGATTGGCTTGGGCTTGGGCTTGGGGCTCACTTTGGCCGCAGCTGCCGCCCTGCTCATTGCATCCCCTTCCACGAAGACGCCATCGAAATCGTCGACGGGGACCACAGCCCAATAGGGGGCCTGCAACGGAGGCTCTTGAAGGGGCTGAAGTGCGGAGCTGGGGATGCACTCTCTCTCGATGGTGCTGATGCCGACACACCAGGCTCCCATAGAGAAGTTGAAATACAAAGCCCACACTGGGTCTGGGGGCGGCAGAGAAGGATCAAGAAAGCTGAGCTGCTGCTTGTATGTGAGCCGACCAGTTCCGTCCCGGGCAGAGGGACAGTACACGCCCTCCCATCCTATTGGGTCCCACGGGTTCCATTTTGCACCGACTGTGGAACCACTGGGGCTCACAGCTGTGGACAAGGGGGCAGTGTAGCAGCACTGCAACCTGAAAGAAATAGAACCCTCCGCATCAATATCATCAATCTGCACACGCTGCAAACCCATCTGCATGTTGGGGCATTCCAAGGGCTGACGGAAGGCTGTGTCGGTGTTCTTGTAGCTTGGAGTGATGACAGGCGTGCAGGAGCCCAGCAAGGCCATTCTGGAGCACTTGTAATTCAGAAGGGCGCTCCAAGCCTTCTTTTCCACATAGCTGATCAGAGAGCCACCGGGACATTCGAGCACGGTCAGGTCCTCCCGCCGCCGCATTGCTGAAGCAGGTTGGGATTGGCGAGCATAGTATTCCTGGACACGGTCACACTCCACCACTCGAGGATTATCACTCGAAGAACGAATAAACCAGTTGATCAGGCACTTAGTGCGGCCAGGGTTGGAAATGCACTGTAGCTCCCGATTCCATTGTGCAGCTTCATCCTTCCCACAATCCTGAAACCGGTACTGGTCAAGGTTCCTGAACTCGATGCACTTGCCGGGAAAGCGTGCAGATTCGAGCCGGGAGCCGTTTTGAATCCAGTCGCTGTAGCCTTTTTCACAGGAGCTCTTCCAAAGCAGCCTGGAAGTTTTGATGTCCGCAGCCAAACAGCCGGAGCCGTTCAAAAATCTCATGGTGGGCAGGGCAAATGTAGATTCAGTTTCCGGATAGCCCGCAGCCGCAGATGCAAGACCGCAGCCTTCAAGGGTGGAAGCTTTTGTCTGGAAGCTGAGGTTGGCCAAGCAATATTGTCCACAATCCTTTTCGAAGCTCAAGCGAAAGAGCGGATGGGCGCTCTGCCCCTCCTCTTGCGCCCTTTCAGGGTCACGGCGGACAGGGTTCATGGCCGAAACTGCGACCTGTTCGTGCAGCAAGTGGTCCAGTACATCCTGGTCAAATCGCTGTGACAGCTCGTCATTCTGGCAGACCCTTGTCGTGAAGCCCCGCTGCGTCGCATTCAGACAGAAAAGGTGATTTCTGACTGGAGTTCGAAGCTGGAAGGTGCTTTGACCGGGGTCGCCATGCCGTGCGACCCAAAACCATGTAATCTGCCTAATCCATTTGGGCTCGGGCTCAAGTGCCCCTTGCGGCCAGCCTGTTGCACAAGCTGACACAGGTGATCGCAGCTGCAGCAGGGCTGCGTCCTCAGGAGCTGCGTCCCCTGTGGATCTCAGTCGGGCAGGAGACTTCCTTCCCGGCGCTGAGAAGGAGCTGGGGCAAAGTCTACCTGCGCTTTTGGCTGCATTCAGCAGTGTAAACTCAGAGCCCTCGGAGTACAAACACTGAGATCGGTCGTCAGCTCGGCAAAAGAAGAGTTGCCCTGGAGGAGCCTGGCAGCCTAGTGCCGTAGTTGTGGGGCACCATAATGGCTGGCACTCCGCGCTGACCAAGCTGCCCTTATGATCCCCAAGCCAATTCAAGCAGCCCGCAGCGGGGCCCGCCCGTAGTGCTGCGCCACCACCCTCCTCCATGAAGTCTACCTCGATCTCCACTCTCTCGGAGTTCTTCCGGGGCTCCAGGCTGCCATCCAAGGACAATTGGAGTGGGGTGCGCTGGTCAATGAGAACCTGAAGTGCCAGGCTCGGCAGGAAGTAAAGCTCCTGCTTTCTCTCCTCCTGGTACCTCTGGGAAGGATGAGGGGGCTCCCTAGGAGTCTAGGCAGGCGCTTAGCAGGCTACGAGGAGCCCCTCTTGACCCTGTGCGGACCTGACGTAGTCCGGGGGAACCACTTGCACACAAGCGCCACAGGCAAAGCCGCTCAAGCCCAGCTGCCCTGCTGGGCCCCACCACTTGCCGCCTGCGCAGGAGAGGTTGTAACTGGGACTTTGCGTGCCCGGCTGAAAAGCCGTCACGGCCGCGTAGCGCTCTCCCCAGCAGGAGTAGCGCAGCTGACTGCCAGGCGAAAACAGGTCTGGAATGCGGCGTTTCTCGGGCCATGTGTCGCCTTCATGCACCAGCGCATGAGTGCAGCCAAAACACTCCTCCACTCCAAAGCCGCCGAGCAGCAGCTGAAAGTCGCACTGCTCCACCAACCTCGAGAAAAGGCAGGGGCTAAACGCGGGGAGAAGGCCAGCGCCAGCGCTTGCATCGCTTGCATCTTCCTTGCCAGTTTCCAGGAAGGCACGGCGCTTGCTGATGGCCCAGCACTTTGCAGGATCTGCTCGGCGGCACACCTGGCTTCTCAGAATACCTCCTAAAACGCCAATGCTGCCACGCTCCTGGAACAAGACCTTGCAGTCGCTGTAGAGTCGGCACTGCTCCAAATTCGCAGCCACACCGAACCAATAAAAGGAGCAATCCGACCTCACTTGACAAGCCTCGCGGCAGTCGTGCTCACTCGGCAAAGGAGTGAAAACAGGCTGGAGAAAGCGCTGATCACAGATCAGCGAGCCCCGTGCGATCTCAATGGCTTCAAGCACAAACTGGTTTTTGCCTTTGGGCACCGACATGAAGCTCTCGTCCGTGACCGGCGGCTCGATGCCCCAGGACATGGGGAAGCAATCGCAGGCGTGCAAGGAGTAGTCATTGGGCGTGGTGGTGGTTGGATCATCCACCAGAAGAGCCTCCTGAGCAAGGCCGGCATCCCCATTTTCTTCGGTCTCCGGAAGTGGGCAATGTTGGCTCTTCAACGTGAGCCTCAAGCCTTAATGAGCAGGCAAAGACGGAATCGGCATCTAGATTGATGTATCTAATGACCCCCCCCCCCTCCCGCCCTACAACCAGTTGTTGTTTGCTCCAAGGGCCTTTGCCCACGTAGTCCGTCTCGTTCTGCCCAAAGAGGCCCTCTTCTCCGTGTTCGAAGGTGGCTGGAACAACTTTTGCACCGGCCACACTGACGAGGCACGCGACGTGAGAGCCGAACAGCTCCATGTAGTTGGAAGTCACGTTCTCGAAATCCCACGTGACATTACTCCTCCCATGCCAGGACGGATCATGCATCACGCCCCCCAAAAACCCTGGAGACCTATTGTTCAACAAAAAACAAAGAAGGGTTCAGAGTTGAGCAAGGGATCCTGGTGAGAAGCAAATTGCCGGAGCCGCAAGCGACTTCTGGATCCATCTCTGAAGCTTGCAGGTAGAAGACATCCAATGCGCTACCAACAGGCTCCTCTTTGCGATAGACCCAGCTGAGCTGGTCCGTGGTTGGCTCCACCCCAAATGCCACCGGACAGAAGATGCCACTGTACAGCCAGACTGGCTCAGCAGCCGTCAGGTTGAGACACGTGTGCTCCATGCTGCAGTTCACAATCTTCTCCACTGCCTCACTGTAGCTCTGACAGAGTTCTTTCGGATGTGGGCCACAGGGTGCCAGGGAGACGCATCTGCCCGAAGAGTAGCTGTAGACAGCGCAGCCTGCATCCTCCCTGCAGCTCCGGCGGCACTCGCCAGGGCCGCCAGGGCCCTTTGGAAGGAGGCGTCGCAGGCTCCGGCCATGGCCAGACCCGGTGTCCAGCGCTCGCTTCCAGCAAACGGAATCCTGCACGGAGATCTGAAGCCTTCCGTGAATGGGGACTTGCGGTCTGCCCACTTGCCATTCGAAGTGGCCCAAAATGACACAGGATACGTCCAAACGGCCTCGACGTGGAGCTGCGCCGGTGGTGCTCTCTGTGTCGAAAACGTGAGACAGGTTGACCTCAGGCGAGACCTGCACAGCGCCGGTTGCTGTGTTCAACTGGAAAAGGACATAGCCCTCCGCGGTCGCCAGGCCCGTGAGATCGTCAAACTCAATCCTTGGTTCTGGGGGATAAAACCCCCTAACTCCCCAAATCCATCTTTATAAATAAAACCCCCTCAGCCCTAAGCCAACCCAATCCTTGGCTTTGGGGGGACCCTCAGCACGATGGGAAGGGTTTTGGGCGTCAAAACCCACCAAAACCCCCAAAACCCAAAACCAGCCAAAACCACCCAAAACCTCCCAAAACCCCCCGAAACCCTCCAAAACCCCCCAAAACCCCCACCCAAAACACCCCCCCAAAACCCCCCAAAACCCC